TGGACTTCATTCAACTCTTATAAATACAAACAAAAATAATCAAAAACAAGAAATGCCACAACTTTTATATATTTTTTGGATGGAAAATGCTTTGTTCACCTCCGGTTCAACACCCGATGTACACCCTACATAACCAAATAATTTTAATAATAAAATTATAAATTAATTTTAAAAGTCATTTTCCTCTCAATACTCCTTTTTTTTCTTGTCTCTCCATCTTCCTCTTCTAACAAATTCATTATCTTTTTCTTTTTTCCTTCTTCCTTTTTTTTTTTTTTCTCTTCATCTAAAGAACCCAGATGAAGAACCTAGTCTCCATCTAGGTTCTGCTAGAGAACCCAGATCGGGTTCTACAGCAGAACCTAGATGTGGGTTTTGTTGGGTTCTGCAGCAGAATCCGAGAGAAAAAATGAACAAAAAAAAAAAAAAGAGGAAGAAGGTGGGAACCTGATACAGCTGCCAATTGTCTTGCAGATGATTAAGGTAAGGATGGATTTGGTGCTAAATTCTTGATTGAGTTTTGCTGAGATTTGTTCGTATTGTCATTTGGAAAATGGTTTAGTGAGAGAGTAAATTTATAATTTTATTTTTAAAATTATTTGATTATGTAGAGTATGCACCTCCCGGTGTTGAACTGGGGATGCATGAATCATGGTCCTTTTTGGATAGGAAAACGACGTGTGCACACCCGGATCCAACACTCGGGTGTGCACACATCATATAAAAAAAAAATTTCCATCACCCGGTCCAATTTTTTTATTTTATGGGGGTGCACACCCGAGTGTTGGATCCGGATATACACCAATCATTGTCCTTTTGGATATTAAAGGACCAAAAAACTTACTGCTATAGTTTAGTACTTCCAAACTAAGTCTTAGTATTAGTGAAATGAAATACAGTTAGTTACTCGTCAAATTTCCAAATAGGTCACGGAAGTTGGTTCAATTTATGTAATGAAATGCGATGCGACAAAATTATGCACCTAAGCATCTCCAAATATATCATGAGATGATACAAATAGCAATGGCTGGGAGTTGATTTGCCTCTCCATCAGCTTTAAAAGCATTACTCAGTTCCTTTCCTAACGAGGAAAAAAAAATTAAATTAAAGAATTTAATAGGCCTCTTGTATATTTGTGATGGTGGGAGCAACTTCCTTGACTTCTGATGCAGGGACAACGAGCTTATATATCGGCAACTTTCTTCTATTAATAATGATGAAAGTTGGTTTCATGCATAAACTCAAATAACTTTAATAAATTTGCTTCAAAAAAAAAAAAAAAAAGAGTATTGATCCAGGTTAAATAGGACTTAAAATATGTATTGAAGGTTAAAAATGAATAAAAAAATTGCCACACCTATTCTCAACTTCAGACAGCTTTGCTTTCTTAATGAGCTACACGTAAAAAAAACTATGTTTTAAATCCTAAAAACATACTATGTTTTAATCATTAAAAAAAAGCATAAATAACATTCTGATCAAACCACCGTTGGTCACAATACTTGTATAACATTTTTTGGGGGGAGAGAACGATGAAGATGGGTATAGACAGGGAAGGAGAGACGGCGGCGGAAGGTAGAAGGAACCCAGCTTCTGGGAGAGCCCAGCGGCAGCTCCCATTAGCAAGGGGAAAGCACTAAAGGGCGGATCAATCATGGAGATACTTGAAAAAACAATCCAAGATTAATTTAGACATACCGTATATTGGGTTTCGATTTAGAGGAAGCCTCTTAGAAAGGATTTCACCCATAGACAGCCCCTTTCCTCGACCTCGTTGCCTTCCTCGTCAAATTGCCCGCAAGAAACCCTATCGGCAGTCGGCACTTCTCTCTGAACCCTCTTCTCTTCTACCCGACCGATTTGGGGTTTTCTCTGCCGTAGGGCTTCTTCTGGAGTAGGGTTTGAAACGATTTGGGGAGTCAACTGGGAAGAACTATAAATAGAGGAGGATTGGCGGTGTTTCTCCAACTTCTAGATCAGCCGTGCGGGGTTGAGCGTTGAGGTGGCGCCGTGTTTTTCCAACGGCTAGAATGAGGGGAAAGTGGCGGGAGAAGAGAGGGAAGATCTGGGAGTTGTGAGCATATCTGATCTAGTATCCTGGAGACGCCCAGGCCCATAATTCAATACTAATGAGTTGGGCTTCGTGTTTAACAATGGGCCCATAAATTAATGTTGCTTAATTCTTTCAGTGGACTGAGGCGAGGCTTAGGCCTCTACAATGGGTTCGGCTTTGTAATTAAGATTGGGCCTTTGAATAAATGGGGACTACGGCTTTAAGAAAAATCTGAGCCCATGTGTAAATCTCTTTGCATTTTTTTTTTTTTAAACAATTTTTTCATGGGACGGGTTCGGAACCCACCCAAAACGGGGGAATGCACTTTAAGCTGGCAGTAGATTAGTTGACCCGAAGGGTCAAGTGTGATGTCTTTGCATTTTTTTGTTGGGCTTCAATTCTAGTTTTTGATCTTCTACTTCTACATTGGTTTTTTTTTTTTTCATCAAAACACTACTACAGCAGTTTACTAATTTTAGAAGATAGAAAGCTAGATAGGAAGTTATTTATTTTTTCATTCAAAGGATAAATAAGATTAAAATGACGCTCCCCTTCCTAAACCCGACCCCACTCATCTCATTATTCAAGCTTGAAATCTTTCAATATGAAACTCAAACTCTTTAACTATGGGACATCTCTTAGAGACCCTAATCCGTTTGTAATAATAACATTAAAAATAAATAAATGAAAACTACAAGAGTACTCCTAGCTTCATATATAAACTTGCAGGTGACATTGTCAACTAGACTGAAATGCAATTAGTAGCTAGAGTGCCTTCAACTTCAACCAAGCCCTGCACCTGCAGTTCCCTGGTAACTTCCTTTCAAACTCAACCATACATTTACCCCTCTTTACATGTATAGAGTGCAACTCTAAAAGGAGTTTGGGGGTGGGGGTTGATCAATGATAGAATATACATATGCGATCTGCATAACATTTCTGTTTCTTTCCTATTCACATGTTTCAGCAATCTCATCACATCTAGGTAAACATTCATATAGGAAGTTCTATACCATAATGAACATAAAATGTGATGCAAAAACCCAGAGGAAAAGAAAACAAAGCAGGAACACAATTCTCATTCAATTTTTTGAATAATGAATAATCAATGTTATGTAACACAAGTTTTCCATTCTAGAGCAGTCTATTTACAATAGACATTTTGATAAATAAAAGAACACCTGACAGGTTTTGAGAAATCTAAGGTACCGTTTTGGATGTACTTGGTATATATAAAGGATTTACTTCTCCCAGCAAAAGTGCCCTGGTAATGGCCTCACACAGACCACTGTAATGCACAAGCAAATGTCCACCATCAGGGACTTCATAGTATTTGATCCAGGGCAGTTTTCCTGAAATATATCTTTGAAGCTCAAATGGGACAACCTTGTCTTCATAGCCTTGCCAGATTTGAACTGAACTTTCATTTTGAGGGAATGGACTGCTTAGCTCTGTTGGGTCAAACTCCCAGTTACCAAAACAAACCAGAAAATCATCACGGAGAGCATCGAAAACAACTCGTTCTCTCAACTTATCCTGTTAATGGAAACACTTAAAATCAAGTAAGAATATTTTCCTTTCAATCTCTCTCTTGTGTAGATGCATATTAGGCTTTACCTTAGTAAGCATTGGGAATCCTGTAGACTTCTTCAAGGCTTCTGTGTCTCGGTTGCTAAAGAAAACTGGCTTCCTTTCCACAACATTCATTGAAGAGTTCCAATCTTGAGTTACCCACCACTGTAGAAGACGAGGAATATGTTTTGCAAACCAGAAGAACAGCTGGACAAGTGTTCTTCTGTAATCACCTTTAATCAGTTTTTCTGGAAGGGATCGCCAGCGATAATTGACAACCGGGACTACAAGAGACACACCTGCTAGCCTGCACCGGTAATGAGGTGACGTTGACATTTTATATGAGTAATGAATGGTATGCAATAACTTGAGGGAAAGAAATTAGTACCTTTCTGGTATGTATTTGATGCAACCCCAGGTAGGACATGAACCCATTGACACTCCAATTAGATAAAACTTAGGGCCTATGCATAATTGATCAGCAAGTTCTTGAATATCAAACGCTTCACTTTTTAGTGAACGCTTTGGGTTAGGATCACTTTCACCATACCCCGCCCGATCAAATAGCAGAAAATAAATCCCCAACTCCTCTATTAGTTCCTAAAATTTTAAGCATACTGGCATAAACACAACTTCATCTAACAAGTAAAGTTTCAATTTTTAAAGCAGAAATTGATAAGAGAGTTAAAGTATGTACTTGGGGAAGTTGAAAGCTCATTTCTTTGGAGCTTCCAAAACCGTGAACAACAATGATCTTGTGGTTTGCTTTGTTCCTAGGCACACCTTTCTCCGTGTAAGCCAGATATCTTCCATCGCTTAGCCTGACTCTTGATGAACTAACAGGAGGGTCCTCTGGTGAAACAATTTTGTTCTGCTGATCTGTGTTCTGCTGAGGTGTGTTAGGCTGAGGTGTGTTCGGCTGAGGTGTGTTCATTTGAGGTGTATTCTGCTGAAGTGTGTTCTGCTGAGCAGGATTTTGTGTAGTTTGATAAACCATACCCAGAGGACAAATACACAACCCAGTTGATCTTTTTGAGACCATACCTGCAGAATAAAGGAGAGCTAGATCTAGGAAATGTTCGCAGTTCAATGACCCCAGAAAAAGAAAAAAAAAGTGGGGGGAAAAGGATATTTAGCCAACTTACCCTGCTAAATTCTGTATGGAGAAATGGTGCCTCTGAGATTCAGGACTCCCGGAATCAAAAGACGTTTGACCTCCAGGTGGTTACTGCCTTTTCCAAGCCCTAGGTACACAGGAAGATGCAGATTCTGCCACTTGGAAAGGAGAAAGCATGAATTGTTTCCCTTGATTTCTTGCAGATTTTAGCTTTGATGAACCAGAGATTGTTGTTGTTGTGGTTGACAATTGCTTGTTGGATTTGGGATCTGGGATAAAAGACTTCACCTTGGTTGAGTGGAATGCTGGCATATTCCTTCAGACCAGGGAATAGAGACGAAGTAAACTATTTTACCCCAATTAACAAACATTAAAAAACAAAAGGTTTATTTTTTGGGAAATATGATAATTCCTTTTCCATGGGTACTTAAGGCTCTTGATGCCCTTTTCTATTGCCTTTTTTTGACCCTTTTTTTTAAAAAAAAATTTCATGACTGTATATTGGTCATTTTTAGTGCCCTTTCCTAGTTTGTTCCTTTCGCTTTCCCCTTCATCTGCCAACGTTTTGTGGGCCTTTGGGAGTACCTGTGTTGAGCTGCTATTTTGAATTTGAAAGAGAGTACAATTACCAGCTTTATGGTTTGCTGAAATTTTGCTGTGATGTCCTTGGCATGCCATTGTTTGCTTCCTCTTTATCTTTACTAATTCCTCTGGGGGGCTGCTTCACTGCCTTTTTCATCACTGGATTAAGTTGTCTGAAAGGAAAAAATGGATCCTTAAAGAAATGATTTCAATATTCCTTAAAAGACCTGTGCTTTTATGTTAATATTTCTCATGTTACCATATTTAGGGTAATAAAAGTTTGGCAATGAGTCAATGACAGATAAATATATCAAATTCAAAAATTTTGTATCCCAGTAGCATTTTTTTAGTACAAAATAGGAAAGTGTATCAAATAAAATTGAGTGACATATTGCATGGTTTTTAAAATCGGATCGGTGACTGAACCGATTTGTTCATCGGTTCCCAATTTGGCCAGTTCGACCGGTTCAATCGGCCAGCCAACCTGGTCAATCAAAATGCCAGAATTTGGCAAATTATATGTTACATTACTGGTGCAGAGGTTGGAAACAAAAAAATTTATTTCTATTTTAGACTTTTCAGTGGAGAAACGGATTTCGTCCAACTCACAGGCAGCGCCGTAGCACCCTCGGATGGACGCGACGGTGAAGGCCTCTGGTGGTGGGTGAACGTCGATCTGCTGCTTGCTGCTGCTGCCTGCTGACTACCGATCTACTGGAGAGACGATGAACGCCGATCTGCTGCTCGATCTACTGCCTTGTGGTTTCTTCTTCGCCAAAAAAAGGACAGAAACTGAAGAATGGAGACTAGAAAGTGGAGAATCCGAGAAGGAGAACGATGGATGATGAAGATCTGCTGCCGATCTACGGATGGACGATGGATGATGTGGGCTTTCTGATTTTGTTTGGTTGTGTGGTAACTGGTAAGAGTTGAGATTGGGAGTTGGAAGAGTTGAGAATGGAATGAAATTAGAAAGTAGAAAGTAGAAACCCCGATTGTGGGAAAAAAAACAAAAAAAAAAAACTTGCAGAACGTGCGTCAGTGATGCCGTCTAGCCCGGAGCAATTCGCCCGGCGAGTTTGCCGCGCCGTTCGGGCGGGACAGGCGAAACGAGTTTGCCGGGTTTGGACGGGCCAACCGTCCAAATGGGCTTGGGTATCAACCCAGCCCGTTTCGTACTCCGGGTGGCGGTCGGACCGATCGACCGACCAGTCCGATCCGAGTTTCAAAACACTGACATATTGTTGTTCCTGTAGCTTTTTATAGAAAGAAAAAAAAATTTTTTTTGGTAGAGTCGACAGTAATTTTCGGGATTATTTGGGACTTAAATTAAAAAATCACTTTTTTAAATTTATTGTTAGAGTGTTTTTAGATTGTTTTATATATATATATATATATTAATTACACAATGTGAGATCACATTTCCTTTTTCTTACTTCATCTTATGTTATGTGTTTTTAATTCAGAATTTTTTATTTTTAATGAAAAAAGATTATTATTGAATTAATTAAATTGTTAAAAGAGTTATTTTAGATAGTTTTAACATATTTTCAAGCAATTTTAAAAGTGCATTTCCATGTACATATGATACATTTAAAAATAATTTTGTTAAATATTAATTTTAAAATTTAAATTTTCAATTTGACTTATTATTATTCTCTTTATTTATTTTTAGTAAATTTAATTTGATTTGTTGACTTTTAGGATATGAATTTTGAATAAAAATTTAACAATTTATATAAATAACAATTAATTTTTTTTTGTCTTTATATATGGTTCTTGTTAAGTATTTTTGTTTAATTAAAAAATTTTAATTGTTATTTATATAGATTATTGAATTTTTATTTAAAATTCATATCTCAAAAATCTAAAAATCAAATTAAGTATATTAATGATGATGGAGGGAGCATATTACTATTATTATTAGTGGAGTAATTTACTTATATACAAGTTTTCTACATTACACTTATATAAAATCTTAATAATTCATCTTTTTACCTTCAATAATTGAATTTATTACAATTTTTTGGATGAAAAAATAATTATCTTTAATAAATATAAATAAATCTCAATCACTAAAAGTAAAGAGATGAATATTTGAAATCTTATATATGTATGATATGTAAAATTTATATATAAATGTATCATTACTCTTATTATTTGAAAAAAATACATATTAGTCCCAACTTTAAAAATAAATTAAAGTTTTAACTTTAAACAATATCATTTTATTTAATTAAAAATCAATTCAAAATTTAAAAATTCATTATATTAAATATTGATATTTAGACTTAAAAACTAATTATATTGAAATATATAATTATTTTATAAATCTAAACATTAACATTTAATATAATAAAATTTTAATTTCAGAATATAAATTAAAATTTTAATTTTAAAAAAAAATTAAAACAATGTACACTATCTTCATTTTTCTTCTTCTTCTTTTCATTGTTGTAATTATTATTATTATTAAATAGGCCATTTACCTTTATAGGAGTAAACTTTAAGAGGTGAGCCGGCCAAGGGAGGTTATGGATTATCCATGTAACACGTGATCGAGTAATAATAAAATTAGTTTTGCGTAAAAACCATTACTTTGTACAAATGTTTCGACAAAATTCAAATTACTAGGATGTTGATACAGGCCCCACAATGACATCATTGGCGGGTTGGTTTATGCCTAGTTTTGGGAATATCCTGGGAGGTGTCTTGCTGGATTTTGCTGGCTCCACGTGATTGTTTGTTTGCACCGTATTTGTGGATTTTTCATATTTTTGAAATTTGTATGGCTGCTTTTAACGTAA